GGGTTTGCCAAGGTTTTGTGGCGGGCCCGTGCTGAATTTTGACGGTTCAGCTGTCCAGGACGTTTGCAGCGGGAGCTCGCGCCATATTTTTGACGGGGTCTCGTCATTTTCCTGACGGTCCCGTCAGGCCAAGCCGAGTCCCCCGAGCCCGAGTCTCACGTCTCCCCGAGTTGTGCATCCTCGGTTCGGCTCCGTGCCGACCGGTGCGGCCCGAGGACGACGACGACGACGATGACGACGGTGACGAGGACGACGACAACGACGACGACGACGACGACGACGACGACGACGACGACGGCGGCGGCGGCGGCGGCGGGGGCGACGACGGCGGCGGCGGCGGCGACGACGACGATGACGACCAGTACGAGGTCGAGGACCTCGCCGAGTTCCGGGTGTGTCCATCCAGATCGTCCCGAGCGTCCGCCAGAGCGTAAAGGTGCTGCTAGTGTTCTGACCATCGAATGTGATTATCCGATTTCCCCTTTACGTTCTATTAATATGTCCTCCTTTTCCTTTTCTTTTTCCCCATCTCCTAAGATGGGGTTCTTGTTATTACTCGGACGCCGCCGACTCCGGAGAACCAGAGAGAACACACCTATTCATACACAGACTTACTCATACTCAGACCTACTCATACTCATACCTTCTCATGGTCTGACTTACTCAACACACAACATGCAGGCCCACTCATACTCAGACTTACTCATGCTGGGGCTCCTTCATACCCAGACTTACTCATACCCAGACTCGTTTCCAGACCTGCTCATACACAGACTTACTCATACTCAGACCTACACATACTCAGACCTTCTCATAGTCTGATTGACTCAACGCACGGACTGAGACCTACTCATACTCAGACCTAGTCATACTCAGACTCGCAAGGGGAGCTGCCAGGGGTGTTTTCACGGGCCCGCTCGCGGCCAGTTTGTGGGGATGTCTCAGGCGGTTTTCTCAATTTCATGCCCAACATCCTTTGCTTTCAGATCAGATTTTGAGGATGTCTCAGGCGGGGCGCTGGTTTCAGCACCCCTAAGGGGAGCCACCAGGTGTGTTTTCACGGGCCCGTTCGCGGCCAGTTTGTGGGGATGTCTCACGCGGTTTGGTAGTTTTCATGTCCAATATCCTTGGCTTTCAGAGGAGATTTTGAGGATGTCTCAGGCGGGGCGCTGGTTTCCAGAGCAGATTTTGAGGATGTCTCAGGCGGGGCCTAAGGGGGGGGCCGCCAGGGGTGTTTTCACGGGCCCGTTCGCGGCCAGTTTGTGGGGATGTCTCACGCGATTTGTTCGTTTTCATGCCCAACATCCTTAGCTTTCAGAGCAGATATTGAGGACGTCTCAGGCGGGGCGCTGGTTTCATCACCCATAAAAGGGAGCCGCCACGGGTGTTTTCACGGGCCCGCTCGCGGCCAGTTTGTGGGGATGTCTCAGGCGGTTTGCTTGTTTTAATGCCCAATATCCTTAGCTTTCAGAGCAGATGTTGAGGATGTCTCAGGCGGGGAGCTGGTTTCAGCGCCCCTAAGGGGAGCCGCCAGGAGTGTTTTCATGGGCCAGTTCGCGGCCAGTTTGTGGGGATGTCTCAGGCGATTTGCTCGTTTTAGTGCCCAATATCCTTAGCTTTCAGCGCAGATTTTGAGGATGCCTCAGGCGGGGCGCTGGTTTCAGCACCCCTAAGAGGAGCCGCCAGGGGTGTTTTCACGGGCCCGTTCGCGGCCAGTTTGTGGGGCTGTCTCACGCGGTTTGGTAGTTTTCATGCCCAACATCCTTAGCTTTCAGAGCAGATTTTGAGGATGTCTCAGGCGGGGCGCTGGTTTCAGCGCCCCTAAGGGGGGGCCGCCAGGGGTGTTTTCACAGGCCCGTTCGCGGCCAGTTTGTGGGGATGTCTCACGCGATTTGTTCGTTTTCATGTCCAATATCCTTGGCTTTCAGAGGAGATTTTGAGGATGTCTCAGGCGGGGCGCTGGTTTCAGCGCCCCTAAAAGGGAGCCGCCAGGGGTGTTATCACGGGCCCGCTCGCGGCCGGTTTGTGGGGATGTCTCAGGCGGTTTGCTTGTTTTAATGCCCAACATCCTTAGCTTTCAGAGCAGATTTTGAGGATGTCTCAGGCGGGGCGCTGGTTTCAGCGCCCCTAAGGGGGGGCCGCCAGGGGTGTTTTCACAGGCCCGTTCGCGGCCAGTTTGTGGGGATGTCTCACGCGATTTGTTCGTTTTCATGTCCAATATCCTTGGCTTTCAGAGGAGATTTTGAGGATGTCTCAGGCGGGGCGCTGGTTTCAGCACCCCTAAGGGGAGCCGCCAGGGGTGTTTTCACGGGCCCGTTCGCGGCCAGTTTGTGGGGATGTCTCAGGCGGTTTGCTCGTTTCCATGCCCAACATCCTTTCTGCTTTCAGAGCAGATTTTGAGGATGTCTCAGGCGGGGCGCTGGTTTCAGCACCTTTAAAAGGAGCCGCCAGACGCTCATGATGGCATGACATAAAACATGAGATGCACATCTGGGGAGCTCCACGCAGTGAGTAATTCTCGCTGGCCGGACTTTGACCGAAATGACTATAGCGTCATTTTCTTCTCCTATCCCTCCTCCTCCTCCTCTTTCGAAGACTTGTTTCGCCAGTTTCGATATCTGGACGCCCGTGTCGGGCTCCAGGGCCGTCACAAGATTAGGCGCGGGATGAAAAGCTTGCCAAGGATGAATCCTGGGAGGGGTCCTGGGACTCAGCTCGAGTGGACTTTGGCCCTCCCATCCGAACGACGCCCGCAGTCCGGCCGGCAGCGCAACTAGGCTTGCCTCCTCGACTCCCCTCCATCTGGGCCTTGCAGAAAAACGGGTTCGTCTGCGCGGGCGTTTGCGCGTGTGTTTCCCGCGTTGAAGGTCGCGCACGTGGTGTGTCATGGCGGCTCGCGCAAGCCGCGGCGTAAGGTCGCTATGTCTTCTCCCGTGAGACCCGGTCCTTTTCGTTCTGCCATCGCCTCCTCCTGAGTTTCGGCTCCCCAAGAGTGAGCGGCCGCGCCGGGGCCGAACGAACAGGCCGAACGCCGCGCCGGCCGAAGTAGATCAGCTGACTGACCACCGACCGCCGACGAACAGACCGGCAGGCCGACTACCACCGACCGACCAGCAGACCCACTGACTCCCACAACGACCAAACGACGACCCCGCCGACCGACCAGCAGACCGACCGGCAGACTGGCAAAGCAGCAAACCGCACGCCAGACCGACCGACCGACCAGCAGAGCAGCAGACCGACACCCGCCCGACTGCCAACAGACTGACAGACCTACGACCGACCAGCGACCAGCAGACCCACCGACTCCCACCCTTCACACCGAAAGGGCTAAACAAGGCGATCAAAGGTCTCCGGCTTGGTAAAGCCCCAGACACGAGAAACCTCCGCGCAGAGATGCTCAAAGAAGGCACAGAGGAACTCAGAGGTGCATTTCTCCACCTCTACAACACGATCCTGCAGCGCGAAACCCCGCCGCCGGCCTGCTGGAAGAGCACAGTCATCACAGTCATATCAAAAAGTGGAAATCTCGCGCTTCCACAGAACTGCCGCCCCATTTGCACGATACCATTGTTGTGCAAGCTCTTCAGCCGACTACTGTACAACAGGCTACAACCGACGCTTGACTCACACCAGACTGCCGACCAGGCGGGCTTCAGACCAGGCCACTCGACCAGTGACCACTTCTTTACCTTCCATTTATTGCGCGACCGCGCAATCGAATGCGGCCAAAACCTCTGGGTCGCAGCACTTGGCTTCAAAAAAGCTTCCGATTCAGTTGGGCACAAGAGCATATGGGCAGCGCTGAAGGCACAAGGGGTCCAACCTGGATACGTCGCACTACTCCAACAGCTCTATGAGGGACCGACAGCCACGATGAGGGCAGACGTCAGCAGCAGACCCTTTAGCCTCCTGCGGGGCACGAAGCAGGGAGACCCACGCAGCTCCCTACTCTTCAACGTTCTTCCACAATGCATCCTTGGACCGCTGGTTTCCGAATGGCAGCACAAGAGGAAGGGAGTTGAATTGCGATTCGCGAGCACCGCCACGCTGACCAACCTACGCTTCGCCGACGACGTGCTCCTGACCAGCCAAAGTCTCCCGCGCCTGACAGCGATGCTTGACGGCATTGTGCGCGCGACGAGGCTACACGGGTTCGAACTACACCCAAGCAAAACCAAAATACTGAGCAACCGGACGAGAAGGACCGGAAGGGCGAGCTCACGCACAGCACGTTTCCAAGACATGGATATAGAAATCGTTCCATACGAGGGCAGTATCAAATACCTCGGCCAGTTGATCAGCTTCCACGAACCGATGGAAACGGAAATCCACCACCGCACGCGAGCTGCATGGGCATCACTCACGTCTCGCAAGCAGGAGCTGACCAGCAAACACTACCCATTGGCTCACCGACTCCGACTTTTCAACCGCACTGTAGCATGTAGCACCAACAGCGTTATACGGAACAGAGACGTGGACCCTCACGGGGCCTCTGCGGCAGCATCTACGACGGACACAACGACGCATGCTTCGCATGATCATCAGAAAGCCACGGAGACGCGCAACAAAAGAAGCCGGCCCTCACAGCGGCCAGGGACCTAATCTCGACGGCGCGAACAGAGAAGCACAAGACCACGAAAACCGCACCAACGGCACTAGCGACGACGCAGGCAGCAACCCATCACAGCGTGATGAACCTGACACGCCTGACAAGCACAGCGAGGACGGCGAAGACAGCACCACCGCAGACGACATGGAACCATGGGTCGACTACATCCAGCGAGCGACACGACGCGCAGAGCACTTCATGAAGCTCCACCACATCGACAGTTGGGAGACGCTGCACAAACGGAAAGTCTGGCGCATGGCTCCACGAATCGCAAACCACGACTGGACGAGGTGGACATGGCGAGTGCTGCGCTGGCACCCAGTCCTCAACCCGCGCCAGCGGGGACACAGGCAGCACGGTGGCCAAAACAAGCGTTGGGACGACGAAGTCACCATTTACTTACGACAACGCAGACCAGACCTCCACCGACCGCCCACGCAAGCCCATTCGAAAGGACAACCGAACGACATCACATGTACGCAAACAGCCCAAGACACCGAAGCATGGACAGCGCTCGAGCACTACTTCACCGACCTCACGTCGACCAGCACCCAGGACTCAGACCAATGACGTAATCTCGCCCAACCCGCGCCGACACCGACACCAAGGACTTTCTTTTCCTCCTCCTCCCCCTTTCCTCCTAACTTTTGACATGTCTCGCATTGCATGAATCCAGACACTTCAGATCCTAGAGGCCATGGCCTCACCCACCTGGTCTGCTCTAGGCCCGGACGCTGTCCGCAACGGCGGTCGCATCGCATCGCATCCCCAAGAGTGAGGATGCCTCGCAAGAAGGAAGCACCCTTTTTATACACAGCCCCCACCCCACCCCTCTCTCTGGCGAGGCGGGGGGGGCCCCCGTCTTCCTCTACTCCTCCTCCTCGATCCCGCTGCTTCTTTGCGAGGGGCGCGTCGAGGACCCCGAACAGCGACAACGGTTCTGCCATCGCCTTCTCGACGCCCCTCTACCACCTCCATCTGAGCTCGGCCACGCGCAGAAGGGGGTAGGTTGAGGGGGGAAGGCTTTTTAGAAGTACCCCTGCTTCTCAGAAAGCGCGGGCCTCATTTGTAGATGGTAGGGCCGGCGCCTTCCAAGAAACAGCCTCCTTGTAAGAAGCCGTCCCCCCTCCCTCTGCCTCCTTGTGCGCGCCGCCAATGAACGGCGCAGAAAGCGGGGTCGTCTTCGACCGACACTGGCACGCAAGCTGACCGCGCAAAGCCGAGCGTGAGCGCCCTCGTTTCCAATGTGGCGTGCCGCGCTGGCGGCCCGCGTAAGCCGCCGCGTAAGGTCGCTATGCCATCTCGCGTAAGTCCAGCTTCTCTTCGTGGCTCCTGTGGCCGCCACCCCGGGGAGGACGCGTCGAGGAGCCCGAGTGGCGCCAGCAGAGGCGCCAGCAGTGGCGCCAGCAGTGGCGCCAGCAGCGCGCGCAGGCGGGACGCCCCAGCCGGGCTCGCCGGCCTATCTGTCTGCGCCCATTGGCTTCTGCCCCCACCCCTCCTCCTTCAAGCAGTGGCGAAGCGTCCTTGCTCGCCTAATTATAGGCCCGCTAACGAATGTTCTGAGAACTTTCTGTGGTCTGCGCGAAGTGTTTTTAGAACATTGTGCCTGAGACTGTCTTGTTTTAGCGCATCGGGTTTATGTTCTAAGAACATTGTTTTGGTCTTCGATTTTTTTTGGGGCTCCAAGTGCATTTCGTGGTAGGCCAATAGGAATGCCTGGACGGTCGGTCCCTGCTCAACTCCTCCAGCCCTGTTCGTCCTCTCTCGTCTCTCAGCGAGCGTTATAATCTCCGGGCCTCAGACAGCAGGCTGCAACAACGGAATTTATTTTGCGCGCGAAGCTCCGGGCGCATCGGGCTCAATGGCCCCTTAATCGGGCTTCATAGCCCTTGATCGTTCTGACGAAGGTATTTTCAGGAGTTTCTTCAACGTCCTGGGCCGAAGGACCGTCCACAAAAATGTTCGGGGTGAAGAGCTGGCGCCTAGGCAGGATGTGCTGACCTCTTGGAAGCCCCGCTGCTAAGCAAGCGCGACGTCGGATTAGTTCGGGCATGTCGAGCCAGGCTCGTTGCGTGAGATTCGGCCACGATCCGAACCTCTGGCTTGATTTTGGAGGTCGCCGCGGCGATCGCGGCGGCTTCAAATGGGGGTAAGGCTTTTTTGTCAAGGAATGGCGCGCCGATTCATAGCCGCCCCCCCCCCCGATCTGGCTTCAGAATTGACCATGTGGCGGCAGAGAGTCGTCAACGCCTGTCCAACATAGGCATTCTTTTTTTCTGGTTAAGGTTCTTTTACCAAGCAACCACGGGGGATGATCCAGCAGGCCAGAGCCAGTGATCAGAGGAGGCAACGATTACAATTCCGCTGCTTGTCCTGGAGAGTCTTCTTCACCACGGTTGCATCTACCTCGACGTTCTGGTCAGAACGCACCCCGGGAAACTTTAGGGGAACTGCGGTATTGTCCGGCAGGAGATTCTGCAGCATAGACTCTGAGTGGATCACGCATGGATGTTTCCATCTGGGGCGTAGATTTGCGCAAGGATCCCGCGGCGCGAACCACAGAACATCAAAGCAAAATTGGCATTGATTCCTGTGTGGATTATGTGTGGCTTTTTCCCAGTGCGAAGCAAGGTAAAATCACATGGAATCTAGACGCAGGAAATCGAAGAAGAGCAAAACGCCATAAACATACATGTTGCGCGCTCCGCGCGGATTTCTTGGCTCCGCGCTGGGACCCCTCTGGCGGCGCCTCCGGCACCGCCCCTGGCGCGGTCCGGGCGCCAGGGAGGGCCCTGACTCCAGATCCGCCCTGCTTTGTTTTTTTTCCAACTTAAAATTGCATCGGAAATCCACCTATAAGAAGCCAAAAAAGTAGTGCGGAAATTTCTGCACCCAACATAAGGGCGGAAATCCACAGAAGTAGGGCGGAAACAGTAACAGAAAAGTAGGGCGGAAATCGGCATCAGCGGGGCTTGAAAAGTAAGGCGGAAATTCCAGGCCCTGCTTACGAATTTCCCCAAAGTAGGGCGGATCCGGAGTCAGGGGGGGGGGCCAGCACAGACCCAAGAAATCCGCGCGGATCTCCACAAGTTTATGTTTATGCCTTTATGTTGCCCCTCGAGGACAGGGGGGACAGAGTCCGTGCGGACGCCTGCCAGAATCCGCGCGAGAGTTCCCGCGAGCACCCCGTGCAAGTAATTTCACGCCGCGGCACGGGCAGCGGCGGCGGCCCGCAAGGAGAAACCGGCAGCATGACCTCCTCCTCCTCCTCTTCCTCCTCCTCATCCTCATCCTCTTCCTCCTTCTCCCCTTCTTATCCTTATCCTCCTCCCCCTCCTCCTCTTCCTCCTCCTCCTCCTCCTTATCCTCCTCCTCCCCCCTCCTCCTCCTCCTCATCATCATCATCAGCATCATCATCATAATCATCATCATCCCTAACCCTTGGTTCTGGGAAGGAAGATTCTCGCAAGCCGCATCCTTCTCCATTCCGAGATTCGGGGATTCGTTTGCCTTCCGGCCGCTCCGCTCTCCCGTTTGCCGCCCGGGTCCGAGGCGGGGTAACAAGTTTCGGCCTCTGCTCCAGTGGGAGCTGCGCGGCTCCTCTGCTGGTCGGCGGCCTCGCAGAGGAAGGAGCTTGGGCTCGCCGCCTCTGGTTGGGCGGCGCGCCCTCGCCGGCCGCTGGCGCGGGTCGCCCTGTGGCCGTGGCCGCCGTCTGGGCGGGGTGGGTCTCGAGGGTCCTCGGGTTCTCTCGGGCTTCCCCGTCCGGCCGCGTTCGGTGCTTCGCCCAACGGTCCGCGTGGGCGCAGGCACTCCTCACGGGAAAGCGGCAAGGCAGGAATCTTCTTCCTCTTCCTCCTCCTCTTCCTATCCCTCCTCCTCTTCTTCCTCCTCTTCCTGCTCCCCCTCCTCCTCCTCCTCCTCTTCCTCCTCCTCCTCCTCGCCCTCCTCCTTCCTCCTCCTCCTCGCCCTCCTCCTCCTCCTCCTCTCCTCCTCTCCTCCTCCTCCTCCTCCTCCTCCTCCTCCCCTCTGCCTTCTCCTTCCCGTGCTTCTCCTCCTGCTTCCCTCCTCCTCCTCCTCCTCCTCCTCTCCTCTCCTCTCCTCCTCTCCTCCTCCTCCTCCTCCTCCTCCTCCTCCTCCTCGTCCTCCTTCTCCTCCTCCTCTTCCTCCTCCTCCTCCTCGCATCGCGTCTGCCAGATGTCCTGCGTGCGTGCTGGAAGCTGCCGGGGCTCCCGCACCTGCGCGACGTCCATGCCGCGTGGCTGGTCCGCGGGGCCCCGGGGTGACCCGCGCGTTCTTTTTGCGGCGCGGGTCGCTCTCCGAGGATGCTTCGGGCGACGAAAGCCTCCGAGGTCGCGGAACCCCTCCTCCTCCTCCACCTCGTCCTCCTCCTCCTCCTCCTCGTCCTCTTCCGCCTCCTCTTCCCCCTTTCCTCCTCCTCCCCCTCCACCGGCGGACCGTGTGCTGAGGTCTTAAGGGCTTCCGGGGTCATCGCGCGTTCTGTCACCTCACCATGTTCAACTTCCCGATGAACTACTACAGATTTCGTAATAAAGGGAGGGGGGTCTCATTTCGGGGGGGGTCTCTTCCAGGCTATCTTGGAGGGCCTGGGGGGTCTGGGGACGATGTTTTGGAGGGTTCTCCCACGGGGGAGGTCTGAAATGGCTTGTCTTGGAGGGTCCAGACCCCCTCCCTTTTATTACGAAATCTGGAGTACTAGTTCACTCAAGTCAGGGTGCCGCGGCGCCATGACTTGACTGGCTGGTGCGGGCCCAGCCATACATCAGAAACCCCACCGTTTTCCATATTGTCGGGCGCCCTTCCTCCTAATTACCCCTTCTGCTTCTCTCCCCCCCTCCGGGGCAACGCTAGGCGGGAATGGGCCCAGTGGTGGTCTGAAGTCCAATCGGCGTCTGGGCGTGCCGTCTGAGGTTTCCACATCGTGTTGGAAGGCGATTCGTGTTCAACATGTCGTTGTCGCCTGTGCGCCGCGCAAACTTGTTTCGTAGTTCCAAATTGGTCCAAAGAGGCAGCGCGGGTCAGTTCCAACAATGAAAAGGCGGGGGGGTCGAAAGTTTCATTGTCGACTTATCCTTCGCGCAGCGCACATTCGTCTTACAAAATGCGCCGCGATGAGACGTCGTTGCCGTCTCATCGCCGTGCACATTCGTCTTTAATTTTCTCGACAGCTCCACGGAGTTGGAAGGCGGGTTGCTTTCAAAGTTGGTTTCCGTCGTAGCGCCGCGCCCATCATTCGCAATGGTCGATTTCGGCTCCGTTTCAACATTTGGATTTCGCTTGACGCTTTTAAGTGTGTGACCAGAGCTCAAACTCGCCCAAGAAGAACTCTCTGGATGGGATGGTTTCTTGTTCAAAGCAGAACAAGTTCTCATGTCTATGACCATCATGTATTGACGACGCCTACGGCGAATCCTTGCCGCCTCTTGCCTTTCAGGATACGCCCAATCATGAAGCCAAACGTTTAGGCAAAGTTTGAGCACGCTATTGGGTCATGCGCTGCCGCAGCCATTGTGGAAACCCTTCGGGGAAAACGTGGTGGAGGAAGAGGAGGATGAGGAGAGCGAGAGAGAGAGAGGGAGAGGGAGAGAGAGAGCGAGTGAGAGAGAGGGAGAGAAAAAGAGAGAGAGAGAGAGAGAGAGCGCAACAACAAAACAATCCAGGATGATGAGAAAATGGTGAGGAGACCTCTTGGGAGCTTCTTGGATCATTCTTGGGGCCTACTGGGAGCTTCTGGGGGCATCTTGGAGGCCTTTAGAGGGCCTCCTTGGGCCTCCTGGGGGCCTCTGGTGCTTCTTGGGGGGCTCTTTGGCCGTCTGACGCCGTCGGAGGCCATCTTGGGGGCCTCTCTGAGCCGATTTGGGGCTTCTTGGGGCGTTTCGGGACCGTCTTGGAAACAATCTTGGGCGTCTTTAGGAGGCCTTTTGGGTCGTCGTGGGGCCCTCTTGGGGCCATCGTGAGGGCCTCTGAGGCTGGCATGGGGCCATCTTGGAGGCCTCTTGGGCGATCTTGGGGCGATCGCAGGAACCGCTTGGGCCGTGTAAGGCCGTCGGAAGACCGAAACGAAACAATTGCCAGAATTGTCAAACAGCCTATGGGCAAATCATTAAACATCTTGTGATTTGTGATCAGCGAGTGCGCGCGCATAGTATTTGTTGCAGAGGGTGACGGGGGGGGTCGTTACCGGCCGGCCTGGGATAGTATGAATTCATAAGGACAATGAACGAAGGGTCACGACCATATTTGAATTTCCAATCGAAACGCGTGACGGATAACCCCGGGGGATGATGGGGGTAGAATCTAAGTTCTTCTAAGAGAGGCGAATTGGTTTTGAGTTCCTCGCTCGCGACCACCCCCCACGCTCGCTCGAACATCCCGCCCGCCCCCCTGCAATTTGGTTTGCAAAACCAATGCGGCGGCGATTGCGATTCCTGCTTGGCGCTGCCCGTTGCATTGCTGCGGCCGCGCTATCGCGTACAGGCTCGCGCGCAAGGCGGCCAGCTAGTCTGGCGCGACCGAAGCGGCCGTGGTGGCGCTGACCGCCGAGGACTCCCCAGCGCGTCTCGCAGGCCGTTGACGCGCGGGCTCGCCAGTGCGAGTCGGTGATTCTGGCGGGCGCGGTACCATGGCGACGTCGACACAGGCAGACACGATGATGATGATAGTAGCGATGCTGGTGGCGGTGATTTTGGCGCCGGCAAGGCCAAGTGCGGTGCCGATGCTGATCGCTCCGATGATGATGGTGCCCTCGTGCCAGTGATGAAGGTTTTTGTTCGTGGGATTTCGACGCGCGCGCGCGGTCGGCGAGCGCGAGTGGCCCGCGTGGTATCATGTCACAGGGATCGTGCCTCCCCCCTAGCGAGAGCGTTCGAAAGAGTTCGGCTTGCGCGCGCGAGAGGCACCTTTGGTAGCATGTGAACGAAATTGTGCAAACAGTCATTTGGGGTTTGTGGGAATCCGCAAGTGCGCGAGCGCCGGTTAGTTTTTGTTTGGGGAATTGTGATGCGGAGCCGTTGCTGTTCATGTGCTTCGAGGCACGCAATGTCGAAAGCCTTGCGGAACTTAAGGTCATGGAAGGATTTTGGCACGCGCGCGACGACGCGCGCGCACTTTTTCCCAGCCGTCTTCTACAAGGGGATCTTGACACATATGGTCGAAGACGAGAAAATGTGCGCGTAGTTTTTTGGCATGGGTTGAGGGGCGGTGGGGTCGATGCCAGTTTGGCTGGGATCGTGCAAACTCATATTTCGACTGGGCGATGGGGCAACTTCGTATGTAAATTGCAGATACTCAGGGGTGGGCCGAGAAATTTGGTTTCGGGTGGGCGGTGGATCCAAATTCTTTCTTCGGAAAGGAGATTCTACCTTGCCGAATTTGAAGTTGTCAAGTCCACTGCTCGCGCAGTCTTCCCACCCACCCACCCGCGATGTTCAAAAGTGCGGCGGGGATTGCAATAACTGCTTGGCGCTGGCTGGCGCATCGCTGCGGCCGCGCTAGCGCGCGCAGTCTCTCGCGAAGATCGGCAAGCTAACCTGGCGCGACCGACGCGGCCGCGATGGCGCTGACCGCTGGGGTCTTCTCATCGCGTTTCGCAGGCAGCGCTGACGCGCGGATTTCATTGATAGTCGGTGATTCGGGCGGGCGCGGTATCATGGCGACGTGGACAACGGCTGACACGATGATGATAGTAACGATGTTGGTGGCGACGATGATAATGACGACGGCAAGGCCAATGATGGCGCCGATGCTGATCGCGCCGATAACGATGATGGTGTCCACGTGTCGTCGGTGAAGTTGTGGAAAAAGTTCGTTTCGCGCGCGCGGCCGACGGGCGCGGGTGGCCCTCATAGTATCATTTGACAGGGATCATGTTTCCTTCCAGCACGCGCGCAATGGCTGTCGAATGATTCCGATCTGTGCGCGCGAGAGGCCCGTTTGGCCACATCGGATAATCATGTTGAAAGCCTATGGGTTCCGGGACGAATTTGCAACAGCGCGCGCGCTGACCTCTTTCGATACGTCTCGTTGCAAAGCCGTGTGGTTTTGTATGTTTCGGGGCACCCACACGATTTTGAAATCATTGCGAAATTCGATCGTTTTGAAGGTTTCCCGCATGCGCGCAGGACGACGCGCGCGTGTACATGTCTTCTCATTTTGTGCAGCAGATGGTTGGACATTTGCGATGTTTGATAAACGAGTGTGCTCGCATAGTGTTTTGATGTCGAAAACGGTGGTGGTGGTGGGGGGTCGAGACCGATTTGGCTGGAAGAGTAGGGATTCATATTTCGATGGAACAATGGGGTAAGGTCATATGTAAATTGCACATCCCTAAGGGGGAACGAACATCCCTGCTTCGGGGGGGTGGTAGATCCCAGTTGCTTCAGAAAATGGAGAATCGAACGGCGGCGACGAGCGGCGACGGCGGCGACTGGGCGGCGACGGCGGCAACACAACCCCAAAACCGACGCACAGGCCCAGACGATGACCAGCGACGAAGCGGCGACGGGGCGGCGACGGCGACAACAGAACCGCCTGACGGACGCACCGGCGCAGAAGAAACATCTGAAACCCTAAGTGCAAACACTGTTTGGGCAAACTGGAACAGGAGGAGGAGGAGGAGGAGGAGGAGGAGGAGGAGGAGGAGGAGGCGGAGGAGGAGGAGGAGGAGGAGGAGGAGGAGGGGGCTACCACGGGGGCCCGTCCGCCCTTTTCGCTTTTCACCGTTCGCGCCCTGCCGTTGTTTTCCCCACTCCCCTTCTTGCCCCCGCCATGCCTGGAGTGCTGCAGGGGCCAGTCGCGAACCTGGCGCCCATGACTACTCTGCTCCCCAATGAGGAGGAGGAGGAGGAGGAGGAGGAGGAGGAGGAGGAGGAGGAGGAGGAGGAGGAGGAGGAGGAGGAGCAGGAGGAGCAGGAGGAGCAGGAGGAGCAGGAGGAGGAGGAGCACGCCCAACACGGGCTCCCCGTTGCTTCACTCTGGCGCGGCGTGCGCCCCCGAGGTTTCGAGTGCCCCTGCCAGAGCCGCCGGAGCCGGTGCAGATCAGCGCCCGCCGGGCCCCCAGGACCGCCCCCGACCCCTCCCCCCTCCTGGCAGCGTGCAGGAGGAGGAGGAGGAGGAGGAGGAGGAGGAGGAGGAGGAGGAGGAGGAGGAGGAGGAGGAGGAGCAGGAGGGGCAGAGGAGGAGGAGGAGGTGGAGGAGGAGGAGGAGGAGGAGGAGGAGGAGTCTCTGGAGTCTCTCCCTGATCGCGTAGCGATGTGAATAATTAAATGTCCGCCCCCGACCCCCCCCCCTGGCAGCGTGCAGGGCGGGCTGCATCGATCCTTCGTGCAGGGGCGAGGAGGAGGCGGCCGACCTCCACGTGTGCAACTGCGGCACTTGTGCAGACCAATGTGCGCAGCGCCACGGCGAGAGCCCCTTTTTGAAAACGACCCGCCATCCTTCCGTGTACCCGTTGGGAGGAGGAGGAGGAGGAGGAGGAGGAGGAGGAGGAGGAGGAGGAGGCGGAGGAGGAGGGGGAGGAGGAGGAGGAGGAGGAGGAGGAGGAGGAGGAGGAGGAGGAGGAGGAGGAGGCGAAGGAGGGGGAGGGGGAGGAGGAGGTGGAGGAGGAGGAGCACGAAGAAGAGGAGATTGCAGGCTTCGAGGTCGAAAGCGCTGAGGACGTCTCGAGCGAGACGCCCGGCCCGCCCCAACGGCACGCCTGGCCAGGCGTGCGACATGGAGGGGCTATCCAACTGATGACGAACTATGACGACGACGATGACGACGACGACGACGATGACAATTTCTGGTGCTGTGTAGCTGCGCGTGTCGTCTTCGTCGTCGTCGTCGTCATCGACCCTCGACGTCATTTGTTTCACCAGTGGAGTCCCAAACCCGGATAGCGGGGCGCCAGAAAAGATCTTTCAGAGCCTCCGGAGGGATCTCGGAAAGCTTTGGGAAGGAGCTAAGGGGCTTTTGGAGAGGTCAAAGGCCTACCCTCACCCACGACGTCCTATTCTTCATTTGTGGAGTCCAAAGCCGGGATACGGGGGCGCCAGAAAAGTTCCAGAGTCTCTGGAGGGAGCTCGGAAAGCTCTTGGAAGGAGCTTCCAGAGGAGCTTCTGGAGAGGTTAACGGCCTACCATGACCAGCGACGTCATATTTTTCACAACATCGATCACCAGAGGTCTCGACCCATTCCCCGGGACCAGCGCTTGGGACCGGCTTTTCATCCTGAGTCGTTGTGTTGACTGTCCCGGGGCCCGGCGCGGGCCCTAGAGGCCGAAAGCAGAGAAACCGTTTGTCCAGAGTTTTTCACGGCGCGAAGGGGTCCCCTCGACCTGCACCTTCCGCACCTTCCGCGCGGCAGGTGCCGCGCTGCAGCGGCCGCCGCCGCAGCCGCAGCGGCAGCCACCGTCGACTCTACAGCGTCGGCTGCGGCGGCCTCCACGGCCGCATCGCCGCGGCACCTTTCGCGCGGAAGGTGCGGAAGGTACAGGTCGAGGCCGCGTTGCCCTTGTACTCCCCCTACCCTCCTCCTCCCTCCTCCTCCCTCCTCGTCCTCCCCGCTCCTCCTCGTCCTCGTCGTCGTCCTCCTCGTCCTCGTAAAAGGATGAGGGAAGGAGCAGGAAGAGTTGCCAACGAGGCTCGCGCTGTCCCCGCCAGAGCAGCTGGAGCCGGCGCAAGTCAGCACCCGCCGGTCCTCCAGGACCGCCTGCGGCCCTTCCCATGGCAGCGTGCAGGTTGGGCTGGGTCGCTCCTTGGTGCAGGGGGAGAGGAGGAGGAGGAGGAGGAGGAGGAGGAGGAGGAGGAGGAGGAGGAGGAGGAGGAGGAGGACCAGTGTAAACCCGATGTTGGTATACACCCTCCTTCCAAGCTCACACTTCATAGGCCCTTACGCGGACTCATTTCCACTGATGGGAGTGCCCCTTTGGGAGACAACCGTTTGAAGACACTGAAGCATGCCAAAGACCATTCTCGCGATTTCAACGCCACGAATCAACCTGACTGTTGCGCCCTGGCGGTCCTGAATCGTGCCAGAACTCCATTCCTGGAACCTCGACACCGCTGCTCTATGTACCTGTTGCGCCCTGACAGTCGCTAATCGCTCCAACAAATAATTCCTGTTATGGTAACCGTGGGAGTCCGTGCAAATGTGTGAAACGAATGTGCGTGGCGCTGAGGCCAGAGCCACATTTTGAAAAGGAGCCACGCTCAATCCGAGAAGCTGCGTGCAATTTCGTAAAACGAATGTGCGCGGCGCTAAGGCGAGACCCACATTTAGAAGCAGCTCGCACTTATTATGTGAATATCTTGTCAACTGTTAGAACGAATGCACGCGGCATGAAGGCGAGAACCACATTTTGAAAACCACCTGCCCTCAATCCTTGAAGCTCTTGCAAATTTGTAAAACGAATGTGCGCGGCGCTAACGCGAGAGCCACATTTTGCAAGCGGCTCGCCCTCCATCTGTGGAAGGGTTGCCGACTATTTAGCTTCATGCTTGGAAATGGTTAGGAAGTCTCAGGCGAAACGCCCTGCTCACCCTTCCGACCTGCCGCGGGGTGCGACAGGGAGGAGTTATTCAAAAGGAAAGGGACTGGATGAGGACGAGGGGGAGAAGGAGAAAGGGGCGGAGGAGGAGGACCTGGAGCAAAGAATGATGATGATGATGATGATGATGATGATGATGATGATGATGATGATGATGATGATGATGATGATGATGATGATAATGATAATAATGCTGAACATGATGATGATGATGCTGATGATGAAGATGATGATGATGATGATGGTGGTGGTGGTGATGGTGATGATGGTGATGATGCTGATGACGATGCTGATGATGAGTGTGGTGGTACTGTTGAGGATGATGATGATGCTGATGTTGATGATGATGCTGATGATGATGGTGATGAGGATGTTGGTGGTGGTGCTGATGATGTTGAGGGTGGTGGTAATGTTGATGATCAGGATGATGCTCATACTTCTGCTGCTGATGATAATGCTGACGATGGTGATCATGATGGTGATGATGCTGCTGATGATGACGAGTACGATGATGCTGCTGATGATGATGATGGTGATGATGATGATGATGATGATGATGATGATGATGATGATGATGCTGATGCTGATGATGATGATGATGAGAACAATGAGGATGCTGATGCTGATGAGGTTGATGATGCTGGTGATGGTGATGGTGGTGATGATGACGACGACGATGCTGATGATGCTGATGATGATGATGATGCTGATGAGGAGGATGATGATAATGATGACGATGATGGTGATGAGAATGGGGACGAGGAGGAGGAGGATGAGCAGGAGGAGGATAAGGAGGAGGAGGAGGAGGAGGCGAAAGAGCAGCAGGAGGAGGAGGGGGAGGAGGAGGAGGTGGAGGAGGAGGAGGACGAGGAGGATGAGGAGCAGCAGCAACAGCAGCAGCAGTAAGAGGAGCGCAGGAACAGGAAGAGGAGGAGGTGGAGACGAAGGGTGAGGAGGAGGAGGAGGAGGATGAGGAGGAGGGGGGAGAAGCAACATGATGAGGATGATGATGCTGATGATGAAGATGATGATGATGATGATGATGATGATGATGATGATGATGATGATGATGATGATGATGATGATGATGCTGCTGATAATGATGATGATGATGCTGATGCTGATGCTGCCGATGCTCATAATGAATATGCTGCCGATGATGATGCGGATGATGACGACAGGGCTAATGCTGATGATGATGATAACGATGATGATGCTGCTGATGATGGTGATGATAATGGGGACGAGGATGATGATGCTGATGATTATGATGATGATGCTCATGACGATGATGCTGATGCTGCTGATAATGATCATGACTATGATGATGATACTGGTGATG